GCCCCTCTCCGCGGCAGGGGCGGTGGATATTGACAAATCACAGGAGGTAGATATGGACAAATCCCAGGACGGCGGATCCAGGACGTCGGTTCCCAGGCGGTGGATATGGATTTGTCCAACTCATCCGCAACATCCGCACCAGAGCGCAAAGTGCACGGATCTTTTCGGCCACTTCGCACTGTATGTATGTACGTATGTCTGTCTGTCTGTCTGTCTGTCTGTCTGTCTGTCTGTCTGTCTGTCTGTCTATCTGTCTGTCTGTCTGTCTGTCTGTCTGTCTGTCTGTATGTATGTATGTATGTATGTATGTATGTATGTATGTATGTATATATGCATTTATGTATATATGCATGCATGTATGTATGTATATATGTATGCATGCATGCATGCATGCATGCATGCATGTATGTATGCATGTATGCATGTATGTATGTATGTATGTGTGTGTATGTATGCATGCATGTATGTATGTATGTATGTATATATATGTATGTATATATGCATGTATGTATGCATTCATGCATGTATGTATGTATGCATGCATGCATGTATGTATGCATGTATGTATGTATGCATGTTTGTATGTATGCATGTATGTATATGTGAATGCATGCATGAGTGTATGTATGTATGTATATATGTATGTATGTATGTATGTATGCATGCATGCATGCATGCATGCATGCATGTATGTATGGATGTATGTATGTATGTATGTATGTATGCATATATGTATGCATATATGCATGCATGCATGTATGTACGTACGTACGTACGTACGCATGTATGTATGTATGTATGTATGTATGTACGTACGTACGTACGTACGTATGCATGTATGCATGTATGCATGTATGCATGTATGTATACATGTATGTATGTATGTATGTATGTATGTATGTATGTATGTATGTATGTATATATGTATGCATGCATGAATGCATGCATGCATGCATGCATGCATGCATGCACGCACGCACGCACGTATGTATGTATGTATGTATGTATGGATGTACGTATGTATGTATGTATGTATGTATGTATGTATGTATGTATGTATGTATGTATGTATGTATGTATGTATGTATGTATGTATGTATGTATGTATGTATGTATGTGTGTGTATATTTATACATACATATGCGGGGTGCTACGTATGAGGCCCGCCTTGCATCGCCCCCCTCCTCGGCAGGGGTCGCTGCGGCCTGCGCTCTCCCCTGCCCGCGCCAGGCCCTCCCGCCCCGCCCGAGGTTTCTGCTGTCGTGTATGGGAGGCTCCCATGAGTTGCCACCGAAGCAGAGGGGGATGATTAAGGGGGGAAGCCTGCTTAAAAGGAGGCTGATTCTTAGAAGGCGCGGGTCTTCTATGTAGATGCAGGGCCGGCGCCTCCTAGGAAGCAGCCTTTTTCTCAGAAGCGCTACCCCCTCCCCCTACCCCCTTGTGCGCGCCGCAGGGCCGTAGGGAAGCCGATTCGTGGTGAGCACGTCCCATGGGAGACCGTTTCTTTATTCCCTGGAGACAGCGGTCGTGACCCGGGGACGGGATGGGGGGAGGGGTTGGTCACCTCGCGAATCGCGCCCGCGCCTGCTGGGGATGCCAACCCAGACGGTGCCAGCGCGAATCGTCACGTGACTGGGGGGGAGGGAGAGGGTGGGGGGGATGCGGGACCAGTCACGGGCGCTGTCGCGAATATCATAAGAACATGGGTTCGTACCATGCGCCCGTCGTTTGGACTCAGCGGCGCGTCGGAGGGAAAATTGTGTATCTGTGTGTGTGTGTGCGTGTTTATGCCACGCTCTCTGACACAGTACTCACCGCAGGGAGGGTCATGTTGCGTGCGCTGTTCACGCGTCGATCCGTTGTTCCCTGCGTTCTTGAATGTGCCGTTGTCACTCTTCTGCTATGTCTGAGGTGACTAGTAATGAGACGCGCTATCGCTATCGTCATCGTTGCCGTCGCCGTCGCCGCTGGTGCCGTCAGCGTATGCTAGAGCTATCTCAAGTGGCGTCCCGTGTGGGCAGGCATGCCGTAGCGTGTCCAGGATCCCGAGATCCCCGTCTTGAGCTGGCTGGGCCCGTTACCTCCAGAAACAGGGTCTGGAAGAGGACGCAATTGGCGGAGAGTCGAGCGAGCGGAGAGGGATTGAGCCGATGCCAGGGGATCTGCAGAAGCCAAGACGATCTCAGAGTGTGACTTCAATGGCCCCGGTCGCCCCGCATCGTCAGACCTATTCCCACCCGCTGTATGCCGAGATCCCTCAGCGCCACCAGCCTGCTCCCTCGAGGTGGGCATGGATGCCGCGACACCCGACGCAGGTGGCATCTGTCCACACAGGGGGGGGGGGGGCACGGCACGCCGGACAGAGGGCCAAGTCTTTCCCAGTGGGCATGGCGGTGCGTCCAACGACGCAGAGGCGCGGCCTGGGGGGGAGCGCTCCGATCGGGGACTTCTGCCGGGAGGGCCCGAGGAGGCCCACCGCCCCCCCGCGCCGGCAGCAGGCATGCCCGACCCGCTCACGGAGTCCACGGACGACCGCCAGCGGTGGCAGCGGGAGGCGGCCTGCGGGCCACTGGCCGTCCTCTGCTGCTGCTCTTTCCCCCCGCTGCTTGGTTCGGAAGGGCCCGGCTGCGACGCCGATGCTGCCGCTGGCTTGCCCCGTTTTTCTCTTCTTGATACCGGAACTGAATGCAAACGTTGCTACAGCTGGTGTCATTCGTCGTCCTTCCGCCTCCCCCTTCCCCTCATCCTCACTCTTCTCCCTCTCCTCCGTCTTCCTCGCCTGTCCTCCTCCTCCTCCTCCTCCTCCTCGAGGGACGGGAGGGTTTCTAACATCAGCAACGAGCTGCCGGCGTACACCATGAAGAGTAACGAGTTCTGCACGGGCGGGCGGATAGCTTTGCTCACCCGCTGGTCAAGATAGTACCCTTTAGCTCCCGCTCGCCGCTAGAGGGAGTCCCCTGCTGGGTATCAGGGGGAGGCACAGCTGCTGGAAGCACGCAAAAGGGTAAAACGTGCGACATCTCAAGGTGCAGGCAAGGTCGCCGAGGATGCTCACCACGCATAACCATGTATAAGGTGGTCCTTCGATGCTGACATAGCTCGCTCGAGCAGCATCCTACCAGTCCGTTCTTGACAACGCTTCCTGGGTACATGTTCGCGCCGCACAGCAGACAAACATAAATCTGACCTCTGTGACCATTCGAATCCGCAATGTCGACGTCTGGGCACTTTGGCCCGAGGAGTTGCAGGAGGAAGCCATTTGTGTTGAGTGCCAATGCTGCCAGCAAAGCATCCCGTGAGAGAAGCTAGTCTCAAACTAGGCGACTCTCCCGAGTATTCGCCATGACTCGACCTGCCTCGCTGCTGCTCTTTCTCTTGTGGTTCGCTTAAGTGCACCATCGAGTGGAACCAGGTGCGGGCCTCGACGACCATAGATTTTGGCACCGACTCCAGTCGACCTAACCCCCTGGCGATGGGTCTGCGATGGCAGCGCATCAGCTGGCTTTTTGTATCCCCTCGCCCGCTTGGCTGTCTTTGGACGTACTCAGCATAAGCCTGTGGCACTTCCGCTTTACAGCCAAGCCCTTTGACTCTCCCGTCGTTCTTGTTCCCCCCTGCGCTGGCCCCGCTCTGCACCGCTTTGGAATCGTTGCGTGACAGTTGATGCGAGGGAAACGGGTAGAAGAAAGAGTGGCATGAGGCAGGGGCAGGGATGTGGGGATGGGAAGAGCGTGTTGGAAGAAGGGGCGGTTGGTGTCGCGCAGGTAGGGGTGGAACAGGAGGAGGAGAATGAGCATGATGAGCAGGAGCAGCGGCAGCAGCAGCAGGCAGCAGCAGGAGAAGTAGTAGACGTAGGAGTAGTAGTAGTAGTAGTAGTAGTAGTAGTAGTAGTAGTAGTAGTAGTAGTAGTAGTAGTACTAGTACTAGTAGTAGTAGTAGTAGTAGTAGTAGTAGTAGTAGTAGTAGTAGTAGTAGTAGTAGTAGTAGTAGTAGTAGTAGTAGTAGTAGTAGTAGTAGTAGTAGTAGTAGTAGTAGTAGTAGTAGTAGTAGTAGTAAGTAGTAAGTAGTAAGTAGTAAGTAGTAAGTAGTAAGTAGTAAGTAGTTAGTAGTAAGTAGTAGTAGTAGTAGTAGTAGTAGTAGTAGTAGTAGTAGTAGTAGTAGTAGTAGTAGTAGTAGTAGTAGTAGTAGTAGTAGTGGTAGTGGTAGTAGTAGCAGTGGTGGTAGTCATTAGTAGTAGTAGTAGTAGTAGTATTAGTAGTAGTAGTCGTAGTAGTAGTAGTAGTAGTAGTAGTAGTAGTAGTAGTCGTAGTAGTAGTAGTAGTAGTAGTAGTAGTAGTAGTAGTAGCAGTCGTAGTAGTAGTAGTAGTAGTAGTAGTAGTAGTAGTAGTAGTAGTAGTAGTAGTAGTAGTAATCGTAGTCGTAGTAGTAGGTCGTAGT